GCCTAGGCTATATCCTCCGGGACTTCGTTGCGTCTGTTTGAACACGGAAATCATTATTCTGCCCACGGTGATCCAATGACTTGTCAAGTTTTATGCTATAGTCCTGTTCTTACAGTTCAATTATCCAAAGCTTTTTGATGCGATTGACCAGATTGATTGGCGAGTAGGTTAATTCATCTGCTTCCGGTTAGCAAACTTTTTGCGAAATATATTCATTCAGATTTGCATACCCGTGTCTTTTATAATTCACTCGACTCGGCTGCTACCATCACGTACTCTTCGCGAGGTTTCGGGTATATATTTACCGTACTGAGATATTCGCAATTTACCTGCCTCTCCGCTCAAAGTGATGAACCTGTTCTATTTGATATGCCTATTTATGTGTTACATCATTTGTATGGTTTCACTGTTTGGTGAGTTTTGAGTTCAGTGTTGGCTGGCACAGAAATTTCGTATTTCAGGCTTGGTAACATTCTAACTGTTGTGACTGGGTGGATCACGTGAAGCAAGAACAATGCACAGCATTTTTTAACTCTGCATTTCTTTATGAAACTTTAAACCATACAGAAAAGCCTCTTGATTCTTATGCCGATATGTACTTACCTCCTGTTCAGTTCTAGGACACATAACACACGGTCCAAAGATCATGACCTTTTTGACCTGGTGAACAGATTCAAACATCCAAAGAACACCACATTATTTCAAATGGTGGGTGGCATCATACTATGTACTTCAAAAAGGCGCTTGATTCATTGTAACACACAGTCTTTTTACCTGTGGCATAATATGAAATTGCATTTTTATTTTATTTTCTGTCTCATGGACATTCTCCCTACTTTTGTTCAAAGTCCATTTGTCTTACTTGCTATGGCTTCTGACCAAACTCTTCTGCAACCTTGAGCCTTGAACCTCTGCAGCAATACACCTTTCATGATAGTGACTGGTGTAAATCAGAAGCCACTGAATCGTTTTGTGTAGTAGGACGATCAATAAAAAGTCGACATCTTGAGGCATTGCATTGCCGGATACAAGCATGAGCATTATAATAGAAGAAAACCTCGTTGTGGAATGTTTCGTTCTTAAATTTTAGGCTGAACGGTTATACTCAGAATTCTGCCTAAATTCCAAAATACTGACAGATATTGTATCATCAGGTTATCATTTTTCCAACAGATTTTGAGTACGACAATGTAAATAGAAGTTTTGTGAGTATTCAGAATCTTCCACACAAATCGTACCGACTGTTTATTCACCAAATGCTACTGCACCCCTTCGTCTTGTCCTAATGCATAACCAAAATGTACATCCATATAGGTAGCACGCTGAATTTGACTCGTTCCGAGATAGGTGTGAAGCGGGTAATAATTGGACCCTGGTACCTCCTATGTGTGCAATTACGCAAAAATGTTGACCCAGCACGCCCTGTGTTGAACGCTCACAACAAAGTGATGTAGCGACGTTATTTTCATCATTCGGGATACAGTCCTTTTGGAAAATATTCTTAAAATCTCAGTGCTTTGATTTCATCCTTCATGAAAGTTTCTGAGGTTCGGATTGAACATTTTTATTACATATGAACTGCACCACTAGATGAATGCTATCCTTCCAGCATTGGGCAATCAGGCCTACAGTTAAAAATAGTTACCGACATCTAAGTACTTGCCAGAATGGAACGAACATTCGAACTAGCGTTGTTCCAACCAATCAGTTCACTCAATCTGCATCGGCCAAATATTTACCTCATAATATGACTGAAAACCAAATAAACCAGTTTGCCATTTTTACCCCGTTTAAGTTAGTGGAACTCAGATGGTTTCGGATTTTCAAGGCGCATTCTCTAGTTATTTTGTTTCAGGGATTATTCACGTAAACTTCATCAACGTTTTCAATGTTTAGATTCGTGCGCATGTAGTTCAAAGTGACATTTTAACATTATTTCCGGAAAACAGTTATTTCTTTATAGACAGATTAGACGGAATCGACAAAAAATCGTCTTCACATTCGCAGACTTCTTTCCTCAAAGTGAGCGGTTCTTTCGGCAATTAAAGGACATCAAACTCCCCCCAATAAAGCCGAAGCTATTCGTCGCTTTCTGGCAAAGGCATCATTTAAACTTTCGCCTTGATCATCTACCGTCTGCTCTGTTTGATAGAATATGATTGTAATGAGCATCTTGCTTTCTGTCGGAACTCTAGCAGTCCCTACATTAACCTCAACTTCTGGAGACAATGATCATTTTACTCGTCGAATGCAGCCCGCTCATCGTTGCGCCGCTCATCAATATCGAACGACCACAAGTACCGCGACTGAAGCAATTATTCCAAACCCAATAACTTACAGTATTCGTTTATCACGGCGTCCGTCTATGCTTGAATGCTTGACCAATAAAGAATAGACTTAGTTCAGATTCGTTCAGATCAGACTATCCTGAGTAGTGTTTGGGCGTGCGCAATAAATAAAAGAAGGACGCTTCACGAGTTTTGCATCTTGGCGCCATCTAGCTGGGAAACAAACAGTTCTACTAAAGTGCATGAATTGTCCCATGTGTGCCCATAAACCCCCGACATTTCTAGAAGTATGAGCTTCTAAATCATTGTGTAAATAGACTGAACCAGGACGAAATCAAATGCAAATGAAAGCATTTTTATCAAAAGGTTTGCGGAATTCAGACATTAGACATAGATATTTGCCAGCAGCAACGTTGGACCGACAGCACGCGGGCATTTTAAACGTGAAATGCACGCGAGTGGAATGAGCTTATTTAACGAGAAAGGCTTGGAATGTCCAAAACCATGTTACTTCAACCTTTAATAAAACGATGCAGTTTGTCTTCCCAAGGTGACCTCCGAATGACAAAAAGTTGGGTTCGATACCAGTAGCAGGTTACGCATGCGTTACAGTGCACAATTGAATATCTGCTCACTTCTCGGAACGTAGCAAGAGTGTGGGGGCTGATGACATAAATTAGATTACCCAATTCAGCCTATCAGCTACTATGTGGAATGCCGGTAGAAATGCCTTCTGCCTGCGTTACAATTTTCCCTTTAGTTCTGATGATCATTTTCGTAGTGGTTTCAAGACAATCGTTTTTGAACACAAAGCAAAATTTTGAGTTGCTAAGAGGTTAACAGAAAATCAAATTTACGCATCAAATAATCTGAGGCATCCCGACTAGGATTTTGAATACCGATTTGGATGTAGAGCTGTAGTTTCACTCCATTTAGGCTGAGGACAATGTGGGCAGCAGAAGTTTTATGTAGATATGGTGAGGCTGTGCAGGGTTGAAAAAAGACAAACATTCACTTAGAAGATCAAAAAGCGATAAACTTTTTAAGGATAAAAAAATGCATGGCTCTTTTTTCTCCCTCTGGTCGTGTCGATTCTTTTTTCTTTTCGCCACTATTCCTGTGGATGTTAAGTGTTAGTTGCTTCGGCGTCCTTTTTAAGTTTGATCTGGTCAGCTGAGAATAAAAAATGGATAAATATAGCGCGGAACACCGCCGTGAGTTATTTTTGAGGTTACGATATTTGGACATAAGTATTTATGGTTTGAAGTGCTGACATCTAATTGAGACAAGATTTTCCTTCTGAAAAATTGACTATGTAAACGTTAGGGTAATCTTTTCTCATACTTCTTGCGCAGCTCACCTAGTGGGTACTCAGAGTTATATTTTACTCCATCTGACTTGCATCATCATCATCATCATCGACAGCATGACATCAGTGTTCAACACCAATGCTTCACTGCCGTACAACCATGATTTATTTGAAAGCCTTATTGTAAGGAAAAGAGTAAAGGTGGACTGGGAAGGAACTTAGTGCTAACTTACCACAATCATTCCGAAGTGTCTACACCTCCAGACATTCACTCAGGCAATCTGGATAGAAACTGACAACAAGAACACCACCGACATTGGCAGCCATATGATGCAGTGTCTCCAACCAGGCACAGTGAGGATCACGCGGTCCCCATCCTGGAAGGCGAATAGCACCGACAGCACCCAAGCGTTTCGTGATCTCCTTCATACTCCTCTGCCAAGTCAAGGGTTGGCCACCTCTCTGTTCACGCCACTCTGAGTTGGGCATGGAAAACAGCACTCTCTTTGGCAAACGATGGTTCGGCATACGTAACACATGTCCCAAACAACGCAGCTTCTGGTGCTGGACACATTCTTCAATGGAAGTACCCGTTACACAACCGGAAACGCACTTTCTGACTGCATCGTTACGGATTCGCCGACACCAACCCACACGAGCTTAACTTGCATCCTACAATTATCTTTAATTTTTGAGGAGTATGGTCACAGACATAAAAAGTAAATGCAGGCGATAGACGTGGAAGGCTTACTGGAGAATATTATATAAAAAAGAGAAGCGTCTCATTCGAAGTCATGTCACCGACAGATCCAGTCAGACAAGATGAATCCTGACGTATGTAGGAATGTTTGGTGTGGAAACACGCGTGTGAAGACCAACAACAGAAGAAAGGACAAACAAGGCTGTATGCTCCTTAAGGCACGGTTGGCGCTAGCATAGTCAAGATTGACACATCAGACACAGTGTCCATCATACTGGGTCTCGTGTGCGATTCACTGTTCCGACTCTTCCTGTAGCTCATGTTTAACTGAATACGTAACTTCCTTTGCTGATAATGGAACGGTTTTGAATGACCTTTGGCTATTAGTTTGCAACTTAATGGAGAGTCACTTTCACTTGCAATTTCAGCCAACACATTTCAAGTTGATAGAGTATATCCACCATTATAACCAGAAGGCTAACGATCTTATTCTGAATAGATTATAAAGATTGTAAAAAATAGATTTAATTATCTACTCTTGTCACGTTTGGAAGCAGAAAACGGATGGCGTATCGCCAATTCACCCGCACATCAACAAGGTATCAGATGCTAAGATACTTGGAGGAGAGATTAAACTAATAGAAAGACTTGAGAAGTCAAGTACATTTGTGTAGCAACAATCGACCTTCGTGAGTGAAAAGATATGTTCACCTCTATTTTAGACACAATGTTGGAAGGGGTCAGTCATTCCTATGGGCCGGAAACCGAATACCTAATAAAGAACCTTGGACCGGTGCTCCGAGAATGTATAGCTGATGTTGTTAGAAAACGTCCAAAGGATCCGATTGAGCATCTAGCGCACTGCCTGCACCGTCATGCGGAAGTGGCCGAATTAATGCTGCGGGTAAGTCTTCGTCCAACTCACAGTTTAGTGCATCCTGTTTTCTATGACACAGGCTCGTGCATTTAGTGAACGCGTTTTCTTCCTAGTAAAGGCCTAGGCCTAAAAGTAGGACTAAAACAAAGCAGCATCTGGCAGTACTTAAAGTACACACTACCGTTCAGAAATAAATTCTTGAGGATCACCTTATTACAATCAAGCTGGTAATATAATACGAAACTATGTGTGCAGTAACTCATACCAAAAAAGGCTTAAATGTACTCAGAACTAACCGTCAACCTCTCTGTGATCAGTCTATCTAGGGCAACCGATTCCTGTGTTTTATAGGGGCTGCCGCTCGAGACCATGGGTCGTAATCAGTAAATCGTTCCCCAGAGCTTCTCTGGTAGCGTTTGCCCTAACTGGAAAGCCGCTAAGGTAAAAGCCAAAACGGTGACTTTTGCAGTATCATTTACCAGTTAAGAACGTCTTAATTTGTCCGATGACATGAGGTGAAGCCTGTCTGCGAATATCAGAGTTACTTTAACTTTAATGAAAACACATGAATGAACTCGGTGCTTGGCGTTTGTTTCAAATACCTGTGACACTTTGTACTTTGCTGCAAAAAAGACAAATTTAGCGCTAGTTTGTACAAACAAAAACAAAACAGGTATTCCGATCGTACTAAGAAGCATGTTACCAGACATGAATGGCCTACTACATTTGAGTGCACGCTTGATGTAGGTTTCCATGGCGGCTTTATGAAAGCTCGGATGTTATTGCCAAGGCGTGTTCGGCGGTGATGTTTACCAAACTGATCCATCTACGTTTGACAGTGACATACAGCTGCTTCGCTTGAGCTATTATTTTGGCCTTGTGTACACATTCAGTTTTTCTCTCAACCGTAATTGTCTGCTGCTAAGCAGAGTGTCTTACCCGGTGTTTTGTTTTTACGTTGCATTTCGATGATTCGCCCAACTGACCTTTAAAATTAAGGTGCTTCGTTGAAAATGTCAGGCTTCCTGGCTACTGCACACACGGCAGATTGGATGGCTGAACAGCAGATTAAAGTTCTGACATGGAAGAAAATCGGTAGTGTAACTTTCAGCCAAAAGAAACCCAGCTATTTTGCAAGGTTTCCTGCTTCCCGCGAATGTCTAAATGGATTGGCTCTCTGATCTGTCGAGGGACAGGTCAATGCCAGTGTCCTGAGAACCACTTACATGCGTTTAACTTGGCTCAATGTTTAGCAAGGCTGAGTTCAAGTGTGCCAAGAAACAGCAAAGAATCGATGCAGTGAACTGTTTTTGACGATTTAATCCCCAAAAACCTTAATAAAATGCAGAAACAGTGCTGACGCATTCCACGTGAAACTTACATATCCCTGAGTCACTCAAGTCTATCGGCCATTGCAGCTTGTAACTGAAAACACTTGTGTTCCACTGATGGGTGAAAGAGCTCCACTGCTGACCAGGAACCGTGTTGATGACTAACTTACCTCTGACAAATCCGTTTCTTAGTGCCCATATTCCTGTACACAAGTAACCTAATGCTTCCTTGAAGAAGGATGCTTCTTTTCAAAGGATGTTTGAGTTACTTCCAACGCCCAAAAACGGGACAATAAATTTTGAGCAACGAAGCGCGGTGTGTGTTTCAAATAACGCTGCACATAGACTAAATTGACGTGTAATGAATTTTGGGCGGAGAATCATGTCCGATGTGCTTTTTCTAACGCTTGCTATTCTGGGCAGCCTCATACAAATCGTTGGTCACGTTCTGACCAAAGCAAATGGGGGTTTTCCCCTTTGGTATTTTCGTTTCAGCTTGACATAAAAAATATTCGTGTTGTAGTTTGACGAGAGGCCTGAACTAACACGCTATTGTTGGTGGTTTGGTAAAGAATCTATCCTTCATTTCTATTATTAGAAATGCATCTTTCATTGGTCACTTTGTTCGGCAATAAATTCATTTGCCCATTAATTTTCCAGCAATAACTGATAAACAGGTGGATGGTGTCTTAACTTGTGTTCAAATTCATGCACGATTTTCTCGCTGCAGAGTGAAGGAGAAAACTTCATATTTTCATCAATAACACTCAAGTTATGGAACAAGCCGATCCTGTAAAACAGTGAACTTTATTTTTCTACAAATAAAGATGCACTCAAGTTGTTGTACTCTAAAATACTTTTGTGTTGAAAGTGTCAGTGCCATTTTCGGCACTTTTTTGAGTCGCTAAGCCGACAAAATTTATAAAATGAATCACCTGCATGCGGAACAGGTGAACGTACAAATGGCATAGAAATACGGAGTAAATTATCCCTGCTTATTTTCAACCATGACTGAATGTTCATTGCAACGATACGCTCAGAGTTCCTGCCTAAAACAGGTAGGTTTAAAACTGAGACCACGTTCGTTACCATCACTTTCATAAGCAGCATCTTTACCGCACTGTAGTAGATATCTGACTCGATCCATGAAATCAATTTGTCCAGAAAACCTGTTTCTACTGGGCCATAAGGCAGAGTTTCACAGTGGAGACGATAGTCGACTGAGGTAGTAGTGCGCAGTCGGCAAACTTAATACCGAATACTTATTGACTAAAGGAATGTTTACAGGAGTTATGGTTTTGTAGACTTAATCATTCAGGGCTTGAAAAATTAGTCCTTTGCTAGCAGTGGTTGAGTCTCAAAGCAGTGCAGCTTACGTTGTGGTCACATACGAAAACAATATTTTCCTATCGTAAATTAAGCCAATTTGTAGGTTGGACAAACGAGATCCCATTTTCTGGAGCAAGATCCCACATTTCACCCTTAAGATTCATCACAAACCATATACTTAAAACTCGCAAAAAGACAACCTCACAAGTCGAACGGACTCGTAATCAGGGAATTTTCCACTCGAAGCTTCAGCCAACAGAGGATCACCTGAATTCACTTGAAAGATTGAAGAATGGTTGCGCTACATTCTATTCACAGACAAGTTATTCTGTATACTGATCAACACCTCGGGGTTGAATGAGATTGTTCGGTTACTAGGATTGATATCCCACATTTAAGTTTCTAAAGAATTTCATGATATACACACTGCTAATGACTCCCAGTACCGACGGAACAGTTGCGCAATGATTTTGGCTTCCAATCTCAGAATGGCGCAAGCTTTTACCGGATTCGAAATATTTACCATCATCTTTTTTAAAAGAATGATATATATGTATGTATAATAGGAATAAGTTTGACTACAAGGTTCATAAGATGAGTAGGCATTTTTCTACCACCTAACTTGAAGGACTGAACAGTTTTCTAGCTGTACACTTGCACATGTAAGTGGATGTGAGACATAAATTTGCACAAATTACTGATTCACCGGTAACCAATCAGGGAAGTCTAACACGTGTGGTACGGTGCAATGATATGTAGGTGTGTCTTTTACCTTTCAGTCGGTATGTCATTTTTTGATGGATCGTCAGTGCACGGGCAGTTCAACCACAGCTTGGCGCAATCTCACCTATACTTCTCTACACCGGACTGGGGTCGATGCTGCAGCAGACTATGATAGAATTTCGTTTGTATTTTGGCCGATATTTCATCCTACTGGTGGAGTCGGTCTGTGCTGGAGAGCCAAAGAACATCCCAATGCCCTTTCATCTTCGTTGATATTCATCAGCGGTGTACATCCCATGAGTTTCTAATACGATACGTCTGCTTAGTTGAACAGTATTCAATGCACCCGGGGGTGGATACGTGATCAGCTCACAAGTAGTCAGATCCAGCGACAGTTTTCCTGTATATGTTGGTTTGTGACATGCCCTGCCTTCTGTTTATGGGCGAACAAGCTCACTATGACTGCGAAACAGAGGGCATCAAGACAAAAGAGGTTTTATACTTCAAGGCCTCGGTCTTTGCTATGTGACATGCTGGGATTTGGAACTCCATTGTGGGGGATAAGAATTAGTTAACGTGGCCTTATTTTGAACATGTTCTCCTTGAGAAAGTAACTGTATCGAGGCACGTTCTGGGAAGCCCATAGTGGTATCAGGGGTAAAATTTGATAGAGTTTATGATTGATCTGCTTACAACGCAGTACTCACTCATCTGTATTCACCATTGATTCTATTGACATAAGTTCGTCATCTTATTAGACGCAGTTGAATTACTGGCTGCATTTTGGTTCATGGTTTTTGACCGCGTGGTCCAGTTATTATCAAGCAATCTATGCTACGCTCCAATGATCTCCTTCATTTCCAGAGGTCTTTACCATCAAAATCAATCTCCAAACCTTCCCATTACCCTGTATCACTGGTTCTATGGCGAGTTTAGTCCGTCATCCACATCAACCATCTGACAGTTCAGTGAATCGTTTTGCAACGTAGTGAAGTAGCAAATAGTCGTTGGAACAATGCGGCACATGTAGCTCATTCTACTACACCGGCAACTTTGTAAAGTCCCCACAAGTCCAAACCAAAAATAGGAGGCAATTACCTGATCGTGGTTTGTTTTAAAACCCATCGTTTTTACTGGTCGTGCAGTTCGGTCGGTGAAGGTGCGGCTCAGTTGTGTTGGGCCACTCGTAGATTAGCACACGTTGGATGCACACTCTGCAATGGCAATCATGCGGAGAGAAGGCGAAACGTCATAGCCCCAAAACTCTTTTGGCAGCAATAAGGTCGGACAAAACCTTGAGTATTTCTATTTCAGTTTTTTCCAGCTTCTTCATTTTTGGGTGTTTTTCAGCTGGGTATTTCTGGTATTTCTGTACAGTCTTACACAGGAAACAACTGACTGAAATTGTTTAGTCTGTGCTACTTAAAACGCAATCTACTTTCGTAGAAATACGTGATTTGACTTAACTCCCAAAAATTCATTGCCTGAATCTCTCACAGGAAAAGCTCGAGGCCGAAGCAATGCAGGATGCGGACCGAGCAAGACAACAGTATCTGGAAGAGCGCGAAAAAAATGAAACTTCTTTTATGGAGGCGTCAGTATCGGAAAACCAACAGACCGACCTGCTGTCTGCTGAACTCAAATTCAGTACTTCTGACCTGTCTGGCAGTGGTGAAGCAGAAGGGACAATCGGCACCGACGAAATGAATGTCGACAATGCCGACGAGCCAAGCGTGAAAAGTGGCCTTCCAGGTTGGCTGTATGGGCATGTAATATGAAAGCCATTGTGTCCAATGAAACTCATCTGCAGGTTGACGACTAGATAATGGTTTGTTAGTCAAGCATAGCATCGATTCAGTAGCTGTAGTTGATATCAAACTTAGGATGGGAGGATGGTCATTGCTCCAGAAAAATTGCTGATCTATGCGAATCCCCTTGTTTCTTTCGAGGTAGGCAAACTACTGCATCATACGATCTTATAACTTCTGAAAGAGGCAGTCTATCTTAAGCAAGTGAAAGCTTATTCAATGACTTCTCGGTGTTTGTTATGTACGGAGCCGTATATGTGCCTGAGAATGGCCCCTTGGCAATATCTTACTTGCATTGTCACGAATGATTCTGGCGTTCAACTTTGGTCTTGTCATCAAAAGAAAAAGAGTTCCGCAGAGTAGCGCTCGGTAAATATTCCTAACTATTTTGCAGATTAGGCGAACTGACTGACAATCATCATGTGTTAACCCCTACTTGATAAGAAAAGTTCGATTTGTTTTGTCTTGACTAGTAAGCAGGAGGATTTCGGTATTACAAATCAGACTGCCAGCCACCCAACTTTCATTCCTGTCTGATGGATGAAAGCCGCCGGCCGCTCGATTACCGGAGCAACATCAGCGGCGAGTAACAGGAGCTGAGTTGTACAATTATTCCCTTCAGCGTGGAGGTCTCTTATGAAAGGGAAATGTGACTTTCACGATTTAAACTCATTCGACTGTCACAAGTGACAGTGGCCTTTGAAGATGTTGTCGCACTATTTTTAGTTAGGGAGATTTTTTAGCATGCTTGCTTTTAAAACCAAATGTGTACAAATTATGGCGACTTGGGTCGGCAGCTAACCTTATGGCTTTCCTGTGAGGCCCAACCCTATGTGCCAGAATGGTAGTTCAGGCACATTGTGACTGACTGCAAATCCCGGCAACAGAACCTTGGTGGCGGTACAGACTTGCTCAACAATAACAACAACAGTTTCATTGCGAGCAAGTGAGCGTAGCGATAGTTAAACCACACCTCTGGCCATGAATCAAGGCCGTTCAGTCTATGTTGAGTGATTGATTAGCAAATCCACACCTGAACACTCTGAGCATCATCAGTCGTTTCTGGTTAGCTGCTTAACGTCCAACTGGTAGTTCGCTTTTCTGGCCCGTATGCACTGCGGCCTCACTGAAACACTCTTGACGGAGTTGGCAGTTTCCAGTAAGGCAAATCCATACCTGAACACTCTGAGCATCATCAGTCTTTTCTGGTTAGCTGCTTAACGTTCAACTGGTAGTTTGCTTTTCTAGCCCGTATGCACTGCGGCCTCACTGAAATACTCTTGACGGAGTTGGCAGTTTCCAGTAATTTTCGGACGTTCTGGGAGTTACATCCAGCAAGCAGACCTTCTGGTAACGGCATTACGCACTCCACCACTCGAGCTGAGTGCGATGATAAGTGAGTGATTGCGAGGAAGCTGACAAGGTTCATCCAATTTGCTAGTCTCCTTGACCCTCCGATGGTTTTCCGAGAAGAAACAAAGTCCAAATCCGTTATTGTCAGATGGCATATCGAATTTCAGGGCCCAGCGCTCGACGTTATTACGCATTAGGACTATCTACAGAATAACTAGTGAGTGTGGAAAGATATTGAGACGGTTGCTTTCAGAGCAGTGTATTGAATAAAATAACCGGCTTCTGGGTAGGCAATAGTGATCAATTCGCTAGTTACCTGAAGTTGACAAAAACCTTTTAGGCTCTATAGTGAACAGTGCTCGGGCAGGAAACGAGGGATAACGTTTGAAGTACCAGTATTATGTAGCTAGCCGGTGTTACACATTCTCAGACTCATGTGAACTTTTACAGTTGTATGGTGTTGACGGAAACGTTTTTCTATTTTTTTAATACAGAGGATGAAGGAGACCAATGATACGCAAAGACTTGGTAAAGGAGTACTCATATGTGGACTCATTGCCAGTGGCGAACAATGTGCTTATAGCTATTCTTGCCGAAATAAAGTGTAACATACAACGCTGTAACATGTGAAATTCTTGCTTTTTTATTATCATAGACGGGAACAAATAAATCTCTATGGAACATAATAACGAGATCAACGGAAGACAGTAGTTCCAGCTTACTGAAAGTCATAGGAGATTCCGAAACAGGTAGTCTTTCTGCCACAGTAGCCACTAACCCATTATGCTTGATACTGAAGCTTACCGTCACCAACTGAAAGGGCGGGCAGTTAGTCTACAAATTATTAACCATGAGCAATAACTGTGCGTAACTGCTAACTTCGAACTGACGAGTTGCAGGAGGAATCAGGATGTAAAGCAAGTTTTTGAGATTTGATTAAAATAACATGAGATTAATGAAAAAGGATGATGTTTGGAAAGCTCGTTTGCAAAAGATGAGGCTACTACTCTAACAATGTACAGTTAGAAGGTTGTTGCTCCACCGCCCCGCACTCGAGATTGCCGACCATAATCTTATGGTTTATCTTCTTATTTACGGTGCCGCCCACTTTGCACCAAAGATACTCATTCCTGATGCACCCATTTCCAAAAAGCACTTTCATAACCATATGGTTAAAAAATGAATTCGGAAAAATGGTCGCACAACTGAGGCGACATAAGATTTACTGAACACGGCCTTACGGTACACAGCTTAAGATAGTCCAAAAGATAAGGCACGAAGTTAGTGGCCGGTAAGTACTTTGTTCAAATCCAACCCCTAATTTTCGATTGAGCCTCTCTATACTTTGGAAAACTGACAGCAGCTCATCCCTCTCGCTGTATGGCAGCCGTACACTGGAAGGATTCCACAGCTTAGGGGTTATAACTCATGGAATCGTACCGGATATGCAGTTGTCCCATAGAGGACGCTGTCTGTGGAAAAATTTTCTTTTGGATAAGCACAAAGGCGAAAAGTGGCTGGTTTAATAATCTATTGGATAATATGGTGAATTTGAGTGATCTTCGAGAACACAACTTAACTGCGACTTTCTCTAAATTCACCCAGTCATTTTTGCTGAAACTGTGAAATCTTTCTTGCTAGCAGCTGAGGTGTTTGTTTTATGTTTCCATGGATTTATCGGTGAATTTTATAATTCCTTGGGTTCTTGTAACCTTTACCTTTAATTTTCGAACCGAGCTGGTTAGGAATATTAGCACTTAATCAGTGAGAGTGACACTGATTTTGATGCGCTACCTTACGGTTTGGATGAAAAATTAACGACTACACTTATTGATAATTGGGGAGGAATTAGAGAACGTGAAAATGTCTTCTGACTTGCAGTATATTGACAGTTATTCAGCAGCCAACCTACCCTACAAAGTCCGTGGCCGTACTAAAGATGGTGAATGATTTAGTAGAACTGGCCTTTCCAGGGCAGATAAGCAAACACCGACCAGGAAGAAACAAATTTGGTAGATATCGAAATTTTTCAGACTGTCCGGTGATGAAGAATTGGCGCTTACACGAGCGCTATCTCATTCAGGTTAACCTGTATGACGTGAACACAAAATATGCTTATCCATTGTTAGCTTTATGAAGTAAGGTTAAAAACCGAAACAGACTTGTTAAGATTTGAGTAGTAAAATGTCTGAACAACTTCCATTATTAATTTCCTTGCGCCCTTCAGACTTGCCGCTGTCAGAATGTTAAAAGCGAAAAACCGAATTACACTGACGATTGCACCGCACACTACTTCCTGCTTCGATGAAGCCAATTTGCTCATACCACTCTGTTTCCTACCGGGGAAATGACTAACGCGAAGAGTAGCAAAGCTTTTTGTACCTAAATAATTCACCCCCAATTATATTTTTCTTTCAACTGGCATCACAGTTATGACGAATGCAAGCCAATTCCAGCCAAGAAGTATCCGTCAAATTGCAGTACATTTTCGGTGTTCATTTGCTGTAATGGTAAAATAATAAATATGAGAATCGAATCAAGCTAGTTTGGTTGTAGTGTCTGGACCTTCCTCAAATGTAGATGTGGCTTGCCATCAAGTACCAGGATTGCTTCTCTCAAGAGGATTGGGACAAGAAAACTTTCCTCGGCTTAGCGAACAGCATAAAAGTGGTGTCATATAATAGCAATAATGATATTTCATTGATCTGCTTCTTAGTGATAAACCGAGGAAGCAGAAAATTTCGACAGCAAAACATATAATGTATAAATCCATATAACGACACCAAGACGCGAGAGAAGCCAGGAACTTGATTTCAAAATGAAAATATACTTCCATGGAGGGAATAAGTTCTGTGGGTTTGATCATTACTCCTAACCAGAAGTCACAGAAAGGACAGCGACAAAGCTGTTTGAATCTGGTCCGAAATGGAAAATACTTTCTGGTAGTTAAAATTGATATTTGCAGTGCCTAGTCTGGTTCTCCACTGCAACTCATCAAATTAACGGAAAAACCGGGCAGTCGAAATCATCTAAAAACTTCTTTCTTCTTTTGATTCCCCTAGACCTCCAGAATAAACGTAGATGATATCGATGTCTGTTGTTTTCGCCGCTTGATGTACCCACTAGGAGATGGCGGTTTAAAAACAGACCGATTGAGAGTAGTGCTGTATGGGCATTTGTAAATCGCATGTTTGGTTTCAGCTGTTCAGAGATGGTCATTCTCGACGGGATATTTGACTCGGAAGTTAGAATGCCTAAAATGCGGGTTTCGGAAGTGTTGATATGGATAGAAACGATGGCCGGAACTGGGTTGAAATAGCCTGCTGGACCATAATGTCCACAAGAAATAAGGTGGATATCGTCTGAGATAGACAACCAACCAACCATTATCAGTTGAAGACAGTCGTCCACTCCCCCAGGAAAGGCAGCCGCACCCCTCAAACCGACTGACCCAATTCCTTTTTGTATGCAAGTTCCTTATCAGGACTTTGGAGCTATATTCTTGCTGTCATTTTTGCACACTTCCCCAGACCGTACGATCAGTAGTTGACTGTAAATGGATTCGCTTCCAGACATTGACGAAAGGGCAGTGTGATTTCCATTTTAAAGTCTGTGAATTGATGATACACCCGTATAGAACAGATACCAAAACCAACGAAACTCTTATGAGCAGCACAGTACCAGTGAAAAGTTTTGTTTGTTCCGCAGTGAACATTTTCGGTCTTAGGTGCATATGATCCCATTTTATACATTTTTACCGCAAAGTATTTTATGTCAAACGTGACTTATCTGAAAGCTTATCTACAACAAGCATTTTTCACAGTAGATTTATTTGCTGTTGGCACTGATCTCACACCCCAGTATGGTATTACGGAATATACCATGCTGATAAGTCTACGATCTGCAGCAGCTCTCCATTAGCTCCCTTATTACAGTAGAGACTAATAGCCCAGTCAATATCAGTTCAGTCGTCCACCATGAGTGATTTTTCTTTGAGGACGGGGTCCTGTATAATTATATGAATATCGCTCATTGCGTCATGGTATTATTTGTTGTATAACTGACCGAATACTTCTACAAAATTCTGGAAAATATGCCAACCAAAGAATTTAGCCTGGTGTGAAATCTTGTGTTATCGGGTTTCCGCTTTCGGCTGTGAACAATTGGTACCCTAATACAGTGATGTAGCGAACATATAGGTTCGAACGACACATTGGTAGAACACGAGGGTGATTTGTGGTACTTCTGCGAAGCGGTGTACAATAGTTCCAGACAAAAATCCTTTGTTTGGGTCGTTTTAACTACCTCACGACGTGCCTGGCGGATTTTTTTGAAAATGTTTGAGCAATGCTTTTTGACAGTGTTATAATGAAACAGCGGTTCCAGCGATATATATATATATACATAGTGTCACGCGAGACATTTATTTCAGCATCCATGGCCGTCTAACATATCCAGCCAGATTTTCTCGGCTGCTCGCCATATGCTGCTTGAATTGCTTGCGCACCAAACAGTTCACTGGTTGATATGAATTCCGTGTATAGGGTTTTGAAAACCCCCAAAAAGGAAGTACCACAAAGTAAACAAAGCCCGCCAGGTTGCACATTCATGGCGTCCATTTCGCGTACCAGAGTCTGATTGTCCGATTAATTGAAACAAGTCGTTCTACTGGACTTCAAAGATCTCCTGAAAACACCAAGATAGTAATTGGTAGAACGTTTCACGGCAACACATCGTTGATAAACCATATTTAGCTGACTGTATAACAACGGTGCTGTACTCTCTGGATAGTCTATCTGTCAGAACTCGTGGCACATGCACAGGACCATGCGATGTGATAATTAGGCCCACCTGGAAGCGCTGTCACTGACCTTCCATGGAAGTATAAGTGTTGGCTCAAAATCACTTTTACTTTCAACTCGTATTTTTTGAAACTAATCGGCGCGACTAGTAAAAAGATTTTTAGATGTGTCCAGAAGAATGACTGTTGAGCTTAGTGGTATTTGCATGATAGGACGGCTTTCACCAGATCTAAAGCCTCTTACTGCAAAACATGGCATCAAGAATGACATTTTCTTTCGCTGAGAAGAAAAATGAAGAACTTTCAAGTCCTTGAAAGCGGTAATGCTTTTGACAACATTTTCCCTTTGGCCGGTGTAAGTCACGCTTAAATATATGGGGACTGTGGATTGAGGAAAATATCGGAGGGCACAGATCCTGCCAAGAATAAGACAAGATATAATACGATGTCGAAAATGCCCAAAAGTACCTAAAATTCTGACTCGGAAGATTGCAAGACTAGGAGATGATATTTCATTTTTGTCCTTTACTCGATTGGGAAACACCACCATCAGGGAATAATTATGGAATATCCTGGAGATATTCTCTCAAGGGAGAAAGAAAAACTGCACCATTAATTACTCGTACGACTCCGTAGAATATTTTTTTAGCTCAGTGCTCTGAAAAACAAGAATTTGGTGAAATTTTTCGGTTGTTTTCCACTTATCAAAATTTCCATGTTCTCCTAATGTTATCTGTCAGTAGAAGTGTTTTAATGTCATTCTTGAAAAACAGAATTTCAGGTCATCTCGACATTCGACATTCATAGTACGGTCATGGTGAAATAAGATTATTGAGTTCTCGGCCAAATTACCAGCAAATTCGAACTATCTTCAATTTATCCAGTCACTTTGGGTCGGGTCATTAGATACCTAAGCGTTGATAAAAACCCCTGATAGCCCCCTCAACAATACTTCAGAAAAACACCATTCGACATTTCAGTGCCCCTCCCACTGGATTACAAAGGAATTAGGAGTGACGTTCAAAATGGGCAAGCCAGCTAAAACTGATAATCATTAGTTAGAAGTGATAAAACTGGTAGGTTCCTGGCGATGCTAAAAAGTGTTCGTCCGGCCGCGTGAATTCCATTTTCCGTAAAAAGTGTGTTCACTACGGTTGCGAATTCTTCCTGCATAAATGAAGCTTATCTCCCAGAAAATTCGCCCTTCAGGCGTGTATTTCCTAAATAAGCCTAACAGAAGCTCACACTTAAGCCATTTTCCTAGTGTCAAAAAGAGGATAGAAAATGGGACTGTTTAGAGAATTCAGTTCCCGTGGCCACGTTTTGACTAGCTTCGTGCGTGACGACTTCTTAGATGGTTAACATTCCACGTGAATTCTCTTCACATCCGACTGCTTACAGTTTTTGCTAGTATGAGTAATAGGGAACTTCAAAGGATTGGAATCTTCAAAGCTCCTGATGCTTTCGTTAAACCCCAGGTGACTCGAATGAATAATTCACGCAACGAGTGAACCTTCCAACCGAGAAGCCACTTGAGCAGGCAGTCAACACATGACCATGTAAAGTGAGTCCCGTGACTGAAGGATGAGTGGTGCTATCTCCTGGCTGGATGCGAGTTAATAACAGTGCCAATCAGTTACTTATAGCCGAAAGTCTCAACTACTGGCCGGGTGGCTGCGGGTTCGAAACTCTCTGCACTTTCGTTGGATAGACACCGCTTATGGTTCCCAGTAAGGATGAAAATGCTAAACAGTGAATCCTTGCTTTTCGGCATAGATTGGCTCCGCTTACAGGACAAAATCTTTGTTGATTATCATTTTCCGGTCAACAATGCCAAACCACTGGATGTCTACAAAAATTTGAACGGTTTTCACCGAACCGAGTGTGTCACCAATGTTGGCTCGAAAGAATGAGGTGGGCGAGCAAACACATTCTGAGGATGGTGTCTACATAGTATGTGAACGCTTCAGGTGCTGGGGACTGATAAGACGAAGTGCGAGATATCCGTAAAATAAAATATCCCCGATCCAAGGCTATGCATACCTCAGTTTCCTTGAAGGCCCCAGGTGCGTAACGATAATCGAGTCAATCAAGAAACCGGACAAAAACCGTATTGCGGCATCAATGTTGTTGTTTACATGGACTAACTCCAGCTTTTTGGAATGTGAATTCTGTCTGGTTTAAGTTTACGTCTACGAAACTCCTATTTATAGCGTTTATTGCTTGCGTTTTGTATGTGCTGGGACTTGAAGATGATTGTAACATGGGGCTGGTCAGAATGTGGCACGGCTGTATTTGGAGACCGCTAAACCACGCCCTCACTAATTCTTAGCTGCTCGGGTCACGCGAAGATCTGCTAAGGATCTACGCCTTCTCTGTTGAGGTCATTGAAAAATATGGGACAAATGGCGGTCAACACCTAACTGGATAGAAGGTTTGTTCTTCGCGCAGATTTCGTTGGCTTCGATTACCAGCTATTTACCCTTTCATCCGTACTACCGGGTTCGGTAGCTTCTATATGCCTTTGTTTTGCAACCATTGCAACATCAGGTACGCACATGCGGGATGAAGCATCTTCAGCTTTCTGATATTACTCTTTGAAGTGTTTTTTGCATCAACGAACTCCGGCCATACATATGCGTCGTGAAAGTTGAAATGTGACTTTACTGATGACTCACCGGGAAGAACTGACCAAATCACCATTTTGTAAGCTGAACAGGTCTAGGAGGCACTTGCTCTCCCAATTAAGTTGATTCTGTAATACAGTATACTTCTCACTAAGGGATGCACAACAGCAGAACCAAAATGCTCTAACATGAAAGATATTCTCTCTTCAGAAGTTTCATTGGCAGACGTTCGGGTACTCAACAGTTGTCGCCGTTTCCAACCTAAGCCCAGCGAAATGCGATTGATTTAAGTAATACAGGAAAAGTGATTGATTCCCTAGGTGAACATGTTGACAGTTCTGTTATTTAATTTGGATTGTGGATTTATTCAGACCGTGATGTTCATTTGTGCTACATTCGGTGAGGAGCCCATGTGGTGTCGGCATTTATAGTCCAAAAGCCTGACTGCTTTTTCACCGTTCATTAAAGTGAGGTTTTTGGCTTGTTCGCTGAGCTGGGCATTCCGGTTGCAAACGTTTCATCACCAATCAAGGTGACATCATCAGTGCGTAGTTGCGCGTAGCGGTGGGTTAGTGGTTGTGCGTTCAGTAGTGTTACGTGTGTGTTGATATACGTGCTGGTAGCCGGGGATGACCTTTGACCGCGATTAGTTATTCTGTCGGGTGGTTCCATTGGTTGTTCTTTTTATCCCGTGTCCTCATTCGCCGATGCCCACGTGACTTTTGAACTTGGCATCCCTCGCCGTCGTAGTCTAGTCGATGCTGGAGTGACCTTTGTCCTTCCGAGTTCCGGTTGTGACCTTTATTGATTTGACTCCGAGGAGTTCCTTGTTTTTGTTTGTGAATCCATTATTCGGTCCTCCTTGAGTGTTTCGGTTGCGATGTTGATCTCTCGCGCGTAGAGGTGTGTAAATTGGATCCAGTTCGATGCACCGGTTTATTGGACCTGTCGTAGAGTACGATGCTTCCAGAAACTCTCTTCCGTGTCGCGTGTCTCCGTATGCCAAAATTTTCGCGTTTTCCAGGTTGAATTTGTGGCCTTCCTGGTCCTCGTGTATGGATATTAAGGAGAGGGGGTCATGCCTCCTGACAGCCGCGTTGTGTTCCTTTATTCGTGTACATAATTTTCTCCCAGTTTGTCCAACCGGATTACCCAGCTGAGCGAACAAGCCAACGACCATCTACGCTACCTGAGCTACCGACATTCTCCTCCATAGAAAAGTGAGGTTTTTCTTGCTACCACGCATTATCTGCTGAGAGATTCAGCCGACCCAGTGACAATCATTCATTCCGGTAACATTGTGTACCAACGGATTCCTAATGCAATTCGATGACAACTAATAGCATCCGGCATAATGGGATGTAAATCTTACGAGCAAGGTGTGGATAGTAATGAAATCAATGTACCCGATTCCACCCCTTCTGTTAACTGTCGCACCATTCAGAAGATTGCGAAAAATGACAGTCGTTCTGGAATCGGTAGAAAAGAGTAAT